GTTCCCTACAGTTCTAGTCCGTAAATCCAGGTAGGTTTCAGTATTGTCTTGTAGATAAGTGTTTTATTTTCAATAGAGAGTTTAGATTTTCTATTTAGTTGTATGTATATTTGGCAGTATCGTCGGTTAAGTCTAGTATGCGGGTTCCACGGAGTTTGTTATTAAGACTATTGTGTTAATAGTTATTGACATACAGAAGTGGAGGGCTGAGATTATTGCATTTAATCTATTTGTATTGATTTGAGTGCAGTATTAAAGATACTAGAAAGAAATTTAATTTTAAAAATTGCTTCTCTATTCCTTTTAGGACTATGTTTTAGTGCTAGCAATACTCATGACAACAACAGCGGTACATTTAATAAAATTATTTAATATTTTAACTGTATAAATATACACCTTTTAAATTATTTTTAATTACATATATTTTCTTTTTGCAAGTCATTTGGACTAGAGTTCATATTAAGTTTTATACCAACTACGATAAACGGCCGACTTGGCAAGTTCCCCTGAAGCCGTGAACCCAATTAGCTGAGATTAAAATTAAGTTGATAATTTCTTCGTTAAGGTCCCTCAAAGTCCTCTAATCTTTACCGCTATTAAGTTCTAGTTTATTAAGAGTTCTAAGTATCTCTTGCTAGTGTTCTCTGTTCCTCTAAAAGCCGAGTAATTAATTGCAGTCTGGGGATTAATTGAATTCCGTCTCCAAAATGGCAAATAACTTTGACACTGAATTTCATTATATTTTTTTTCTTCGTTTTTTATACTGGCTGAAACTCCACTTCATAATCTCGATAAAATCTAATTATTAGTTGAAAATTAAATGTATCTAGATAAGTTTTTATGAAGAGAATCTTTTCACTGACTTTCAGGAGTTTTGAAAACTTCACATTTTTCAATGATTTTTGTTTAGTTTTAAGTTTTCAAATAACCCCCATATCAGACTGAAACGACTAGAAACCGCCCGATGTTTTCGACTACTGCAGCACTTACTATACAAACGCTCTAAGCTTTCAATCAATTACAAACGACTCATATATAATAAGACCTATTTGGACTTACGGAATTGAGCTTTGGGGATCCACCAAACCATCGAATTCCTCTCGTATCCAATCCTTACAATCCAAAATCCTTCGTAAAATCCTCAACGCTCCTTACTTTGTCACAAATAAAATCATATATAAAGACCTTAATGTTCCATATGTTTCCGATTTGGCCAAATCCAGATACCTATCCTTCCATAACAAACTCCAGAACCATCCAAACCCTCTCGTTTCAAACCTTGCTTCCTCCTCGATCCCTGATAACCCTCCGGGGCGTCTGAAAAGAAGATGACCTCGGGACCTTCTAATATAGAACTTTAATTTGAGTTCTACCAATGCGTAGTTTCTCTTCATGTTGTACATGTCATGTTACCAATGTCACATTTAAGTGTTATATTTTCCATGTAATACAGTTGTAAATTTCATTAAAATAAAAAAAAAGTTTTCAAGTTGACCTTCTAAATTTCTTCGCGAAATTCGCTTCCATTTGGTACCATATTAATCAAACTCTTATCACTCCTTAGAGCCGGAATAGGGCAGGTTTCTAAATATTGTTTTTTCTAATATTATTTATTTATTTATTGAATAATATAACATTCTGTCACTTGAATATTGATTACAGAGAGATAAGATCATATTCACACTATATGTACAAAAAAAAAAAAAACAGAAACAAATTAACAATAAATATTAATCAAGAAGCATATGCAATAAATAAAATAAGTTAAAAAAAAGGAAAATTTAAATAAGTAAGTAGTTGTTAGCTTTTGTTCTGTCATTCTTCGAAATGCACTCATCCTAAGGCCACTTTTTATTATGCGAGACATTGATCTGTTAGATTCCCATTTCCTAAGACATGATTTGTTGTTTTCGAATGGGATTTCTCTTGATTCGAGCAGCTACTGCTCTCACTGCATTTGCCGTTCTCACAGTGCGGGGACGGCCCGGTCGAGGTCTCTCTACAGAGAGGGTCTAATTATATCTATTTATTGTGCAGTATACGAACATACGGCTGATAACCAAAGGTTTCAAAGTGTTGAAAATCTCTGACGTACATTTTCCAACTTTGTATGAGGTGTTCACACCTATTCGGTTTTCTTTATCACCCTACTCCATGTTAACTGAGCGAAAGAAAACTACAAAATAATTGGAATTGTTATCCTGACATGTAAAGAAAATAACCTGATAGAGGTAAGGATTATCTAAATAATATCCAATGATGTAAACAAAGTTCAACTTTTGTATCAGTAATTATGGCAAAAGTAGGTGCACTATTTAGAATCAGGCGAGAAAATTCTGAGGTAGGCTGGTTCCTCCAACTATAGAGAAAAAACAGGATTCCAGGAGATCCCTGTGCTACTCTTTCAACCGCATACACAAACTACAGAAGGTCGCTTGTGCTAGAGGATTTGGATGATAAATAAGGTTCTGGTCAAATTCGGAAAAAATTTCTGGAATAAAATATAGGACAAATAGGATGTTGATGATGTCATGGCGTACGATTTTGTTGTTTTCATAGAAAAGAGCATTGACTATTTTTCGAAGGACTTAGGTCTGAAAGGGCTGGATGCATTTGATGTTAGAAATTTTTCAGAAAAGCACCAGTTTCCAGATAATAATTATTAATTAGTATACTTCAACCTCATATATATATAACACCTTTTTTTTTTTTTTTTTCTAGTCCCATCCTTCGGGTTTGGTGCCATTTTCTCATAATCTAACATATGTCTATTATAGGCCATAGGTCACCAAAAAAACACAGTTTTTTTATATATTACATGTATGTTTATTCCAACGTTTCGGCTTCAGGAGCCATTTTCAAGAACCTGCAAACTAAATTTTAATTTAGTAAATACAACGTACTTTTACAGTTTATAAAACTTTATAATAGCAAGTACGTTATCTAATGCATATAGAATATTTGTTCTCGAGAAAATAATTTATCCTTGATGGAAAAAAGGTGAAGTTGGTAGAAAGCCTGGATACTTGGGAAAGAAGCTAGTGGAAAGGAGCGGTTAGGCGAAGGAAATTCGATCGAGATAAAAAGAGATTTATTTTCCTTTGACAGGAGAAAAGAACGGGAAAAGTCTAGAGATGGAGTTTGGCAATATATCAGCTGGTCCCGAAGGCCACAGCCACTTTGATTTTTCATATTTCTAAGTTTCTCTCCATTCTTTTTCCAGTATTCTTTATTGTATTTTTTTGTGTTTTTGTTAGATTCGCCAATGCCTTCCATTTTGTAAAAAATGTTATCACGTTAAGAAAACTTATGTTCACCTCATTTCTCAACACAACTTGAGGTGAATCTCAATTTTTTTTTCTTATAAACCTCAAGTTAATTAGTATAGAGTTGAAGCTTATTGAGCGAGGAAGTTTTTGTAAAATTGGGGTAAATGTAGTACAGTTAAATTTAAACTGAACTTAGCCGTGTTTATCTGTTCAATAGTCTTTTTTAAATAGTTTTAACAATGGCAAGCTCTACTTTCGTTTAAAGTAAATTTTGTTTAGTTTACTATGGAGCGATGTTTAGTTACTTAAATCTAATATTTTTTAACTGATCACTTCCTATTCAACAAAAAACATGACGCTTAAATTTCCTACTTGCCTGGTGGAATTGGGCAATTGTTAATATGAACTTTTTGTAGATCTTGATGTCTACTATCAAGCTTTTAACAACTCCCTCCTAATAACGAGATGTCATCAAAGATTCAAACATGATGTGACGAAAAATAAATTTAAAAAAAAAAATTAGTTCCTAAAATAATCGTTAGTTTTTTTTTATTAACTCGAAGAGGGTTAGATAAAAATAATTATTTAGTATTAATTTTAATAACAGGTATTAGTTTATAATAAGTCTTAGTTTTAAGTATTCATTTTATTTCGGATTGGAATAACCAAAAGCTGTTTGGGAGGAAAAACAAAAAACAGTTTAGGAAGAAATGGCGGAACCTCGCGAGTGTTAAGGCACGCTAAGGATTTCTGTGTGTGAAATACTTTAGTTTTACGGTGTTCACTGGATTTTCTTTTCCTATCCAAGAACCTGTGATTATCAGCGACGAGTGCCACTTGATTTTACAAGTTGGTAAATGAACATTTTCACAACTAGAGGAGATAGACTGGGTAGACACTGACGACGCTACCTCGAATAAGTTCTTGCTTCTTTATATAACCCAATGTGCCAATTGGACCGAGTTCAACCAGTGGGATATTGTAAATATATACATATAAGTTTTTTTTATCTATTTTTTTCCCCAAATATTTGTAATTGGTTTATTGTATAGTCGTAAGTTAATGTTTAGTTCTATAATAATTTTGTAATCTTTTCTTTGATAATTAAAGTTAATTGTATTTTCTTATAAATCTAATTTCTTGTTCATAATTTCCATTTCCTTTAAAAGTTATTTAAATCAATAGAAATAAGTAAATTCATCATTAGTATTAATAATAGCCAGTTTTATTTTCTTCAGTTTTCTTTCACGTTTTATATATATTATATTGTTTTTCTTTTTTTAAAGTTTAATAAAGAACTGTAAAACCCTATTCGAGGGATTAGGGAAAGTAATTATTAACCAAGTAAGAAGGTTCGATAGGTTACGAGGTTAATTAACATATGTTTTTTTAAACCCAAATGTTCCGAGTTCGTAGCTCACTCCGCGTCCGAATCTTTTTTTTTTTAATTTAATTTATTTTAATGGTTTTCGCTATTTTCCAAATTCAACAAATTAAATAGCGTGGCGCCTGTTAGATAGTTAATAATATTTAATTGACTCTTGATTATTTTATTTTCTTTTTGCGAACCCTGCCGTCTCTGCTGAGCATTCGGCAACTTTGTTACGGAAACAATTTTTCGAAATAAAAGACCGTAACAATGAACTGTTAAGACTCCTTAAATAGAGAGGTTACGCCTGTTTCGAGGAAGTATATTGCATAGATACGGATGGATTCACTCGATATGCCGACATGGTAGCATTCTCTAAGACGGGAAAATTGGTGATGATTTTGGATCCTACCGTGAGGTATGAGACCAACGATCTCGATCAGGCAGGCAAAATGGAAAAAGAAAAAAAAGACCTATGAGAAATGCATTCCTTTCCTTAGTGAAAAGTTTCGCGAGAGTTTCGGGCCGAGAGAGTTCCACGTGAGAGGCCTTTGGTGCGGAGCTCGCGGAACGATACCAGACTCAACAAGGAGCTTCATGGAGGGCCTTGGTGTCGACATAAAGGACGTGGCAAGGTTGGCGGAGAATATAATCCTCGACTCCCTGGGAATTATCCATCACCATGTGCATGGATAGAGAGAGAGTTTGTTCATGGAGGAGGCATGCGTGTGTTTTTTACATTATTTATTGAACACGTCCACTGTACTTAATGTATTTGTATGCATTTTATGAATTACGGTAGGAAGAGAGAGGAAAGAATATGAGTGAGAAAAATGTATAAGGAGAGAGAGAAGGAAGAGAAAGTGGTGTAGAATGCTAATAAATTAATGAAAGTAATAGGAAAAATAAATAAAAAAAGGGAAAAAAATATTGTATATTAGTTTTAAAAAACTGTCTGTATTGATTAATAAGTATGCTGTGTTTAAAGCAATCCAATGTAATTGGGCAGCACCATTTTACGAAAATAAAGTGATTCTCTCTTCTCTCTACTTACGGGACACCCTGTATATTAATACATATAATATATTCAATTATTTATCCTACATCAATTTCTATTTCGACAGCAGCAGTGAAAGGTAATGCAGGTATACATGCGAGTCTAATTGCTGTTCCTTGTATGGTGTTATCAATTTTAACTGGAGTAATTGGATTGGACGGGTGGCGTGTCGTGGTATTGCGTGAACGCACCTGCGGGCGATGAAATTTGAATGAAATATCTTCGTAAGGGACCAGCAACTGTCCATCAACAGTAGAAATATTTAAAAAAATAACACTCGCTTAAACCAACGCAGTGGTTGATTCACGGAAATAGAAAGCAGAGATAACTCTTATTTAATAATTTTTACTGTAAAGTATCTTAAATTTTGTTTATTTGAAATAATTAAAGATCTCTCATCTTAACTAATAGAAAAAGTTATAATAAAATTGATCATTAATAAAAAGAATAAAATGGAATATTTTGGCAAGTTGAAAACAAATTTTCGGAAACAAGAACTAATGATTTTAGAAAAATGAGCGTTTAGTATAAAGTAACTCGTACTTTATAGTTTTTGCAATACACTGGTGATTATAACATCGATTTCTATTGAGGAAATAATGTAAATACAAACTGCTATTATCATATCAAGTGATAAGTACTTATCCTATCAACAAACGCATCATGGACTAGAGTTTATTGTGTAGGAGGGTTATTAATGGCAACAGTGAAAATGACTAATAGAGCAGGGTCTTGCTTGTATCGGGCCGACAGGTCTGATGTATGGATCTTTTAACTTGCTCTGAAATGTTAGCGCCCTGCTTATTATCCCAACTGTGCAAACTAAACTCCAAACAAACTCAACTTCGAATTTAGGTGGTATTAACTATACAGCATCTAACAGATTGTTCTAGTAGGGCAAGCAAAATCAAACAGGAGTGTCCAGAAGAGGATTTTTGGTAATATTTTAGATAAGGACCGCATGAGTTACGCGTGGTTCCCAATCTCTTCGGCAACACTTTTCACATGAAACGCCGAAAATAGTCTTTCGTATAAACACGGACATATTCGGCACTCCATGTACAAGAGTTACCGATGTGATTGTTAACCATGCTTATCCCTAGTGTTGCCCAAAATCGGTCTTGGTCTTGCACATTGCGAGACCAAGACCAGGGCCGCTTCACTGTTGCAAGACCAAGACCAGGACTGGTAAAAAAAAATCATTTTACTAAAAATTAATTCAAAAAAGTTACTAATACCTGACAATCTTAGTTAATGCATGTTAATAATTGATATAACTAATATACTTTTGCATTCAATTCCCCTAATTTTTCATTCGGGCTTAGTTAGGTTTCTCTTATCTAAAAAAATACAGTAATATCTCTATTGTAATAAGCTAATAACTGCAAGACTGTAGCGAGAGTCTTGCGCAAGACCAAGGCCATGACCAAGACTGAGTTTGCAAGACCAAGACTCGTCTCGGTCTCGCATATGGGCTACACTACTCATCCCGTGTGGCCCTCATCTAAATAAATATCGGATTTTTTTTAAGTGAAAATTTCTTTAGGCTCGCTTAACACTTGTAATTTGTGGGTATCGAATGAAACTGATCCATCGTTCTCGGCTTTGTAACGCTCATTCGACTAAAGTCGGTTCGAGTTGACTAGTTTTTACTTTCAATTACCTATATATAGATATAATATTTTAATTTTGTACTTTTTTGTTATTCTAAAGGGAGCCCAGAGTAAAATTATTTTCTATTCTATATATGAAATATGTAGTAAGAGAAAGTATTGCGATCATGAAAATTTTCGAATCTCAGTTTTCAACGAAAATACATGTTTTGAGTCGAAATTACCAAGTTTCGCAAAATGGTCTGTGTGTGTGTGTGTATGTGTGTGTTAACAATAAGCTCAAAAACGAAAAATCATACGCAAGTGAAAATGCATATTTAAGGTTTCTATATGCTAGGGATGTAACAGCAACTTTTTCGTCGAAATCGGCTAACCGGAAGTGGCACTTTATATAATGGACTAAACACATTTTTAGGATTATTTCGAAAAAGGCTCTAACGATTTTGATTTTAATTTATCATATCAGTTTAAAATTAAGCAGTTTTAAATAAAATGTGGTTATTATTCTGATTGATGTTCTCAAACAGAGCTAAAATGGCTAATTTTCAATATTAGCTTACTCTAAAGTAACTTTAATTTTTTTTTTATTTGAAACAATTGACCATTTCACATTAATTTATAATATGAAAAATGGTTAAATATAAAATATGAAAGAATTTGATAAACAACTAAAGGAAAAATAAGATATCGTAACGGAGAATAGTTGTAATAATTATAACTATTCTCCGTTATGATCTCTTATTTCTCTTTTAGATAATTATCAAATTCTTTCATATTGTACATCTAACTATCTTTTATTGAATTATTGAGGAATCAAAGGCATACGAGCGCACCCATGCTCGCCCGAAATATTAGAACACGCATCCATACGTATCATGAGATTAATATAATACGGACTCCGACAATATTATATAATTATACATATGTGTTTTTTATAAATGCTATTGTTTCTATTATTTAATATTTAATTTTCAGATCACATCAATATATTAAATATTAAAATTTGTATATATGAGGGTACTTATACAAATAAATATACCCAAAATGAAATATAAATAAATATACAGTCTATAATTTTTACTTGTCTTCGCCTTGTATGAAAATACATATTTCTGCTAAGAAGAGGGTGGTAAGTGAAAATTGTATGATATGCGCACAGCACCAGATTTTTGCATTTTGATTAAAATATTTAATCGATATAGTAGTCTCCACTACTATTAATACATTTCTGCCGTCCTGCTGGCAACTTTTCCATTCTCTCCAAATAGAATTCCCCGTCTTTAGAATTGACAAACTCCAAAAACGCATTTTCTAATTTCCTTTGTCTATTAATTTTTTGTCGCGTTAGTAATGGTCCAGGTGTCTAAAAAAATGATAATCCGTAGGCGAATACTCCGGAGAGTAGAGCAAATGTGGAAGAGTTTCATATCCAAGCTCCAACAGGTTTTGTGACGTCGCATGTGAGTCATGTGCCCGGGCTTTGTCATGCAACAAAATGACGTAAGTCCATTCCGATTGACTTAAGATGTCTATTTTATGACTGAATTATTTCTAAGCAGCAAAATGCTACAGAGGTAAACAAACATTATCTTTTGGAAGATTATTAATAAGTGTTGGCCTTCATACAAATCAATAATCCAACAAACTTGTTATATTTATCATAGGTGATAAATGTTCAGGATGCAGTCATTATAAAATTTTTTTTATTTGTGCCAACGTTTCAACCCCAACATGTGGGTCATCATCAGGGCTGAAAATTTTTAAATACAATCCCAGATATAATATTATACGACCGATAATGGTAAGTAATAAACTACATTGATTGATGGTACATGAATCTTGACTATTATTACAATACAAAATATTAAAATGAAATATGTAAAAAATTATACAAACTAAAAATAATGTATATAATCCATTTATAAAAATTTGTAATATTTTCTCTTACTAACCGTGGTTCGAGCACTGAAGGCTTCATCTTGAATATTTAGTCAGCAAATTATTTACATTCTATAAACAGAAATATTACCTGCCTCCTTCCCTTACGACTATGTTTACCTACCTTTTGCTATTTGAAAAAGGACAACTAGAAAATTCTCTCTCGACCTTTTCACTTACCTATCAAATCTGTCACTGCTCGAACCACGGTTAGTAAGAGAAAATATTAAATTTTTTATAAATGGATGGATGGATAAATGGTGAACGAGAAATTACCTGAAGAATGGAAAGAATCTATTCTTATTCCGATTCACAAAAAGGGTCCGAGGACGGATTGTAATAACTATCGAGGAATTTCACTCCTTCCGGTATGTTATAAAATATTCACTTTAATCTTAACCAGTCGAATCACGGAATACGCCGAGGAAATTATCGGAGAATACCAATGCGGATTTAGACGGAATCGTTCGACTATTGATCAAATATTTTCTTTACGGCAAATATTAGAGAAAAAATTGGAGTATAACGGTATTGTTCACCAGCTGTATATAGATTTTAAAAAGGCTTACGATTCTATTGACCGCCAGAAACTGTATAATATTCTAATCGAGCAGGGGATTCCAAAAAAACTAGTAAATCTAGTCAGGATGTGCTTGACGGAGACACTCAATAAAGTTAGAATCGGTAATAATTTGTCCGAAAAATTTGAGGTTCGTTCGGGCTTAAAACAGGGGGATTCTCTTTCGCCTGTCCTGTGCAATTTGGCATTAGAACATGCCATTAGGGAGGTAATGCGAACCGAGAAAGGGTTGGATCTGGGCGGGACAACATCCGTGCTGGGCTATGCTGATGATCTGGTACTGTTAAGCGAAGAAGTTGAAACTATAAAACTAAATACGACAACGTTAATGAAAGCCGGTAAAGAACTAGGACTCGAAATAAACGTGGATAAAACAAAATATATGGTTAGCTGCAAAAATGGCGATACTACTGGTGATATCG